GGGGGTTAATGGGTCTGACTTTGTACTGAACACTGGAGTGCCACTGCGTCTGAAGAGCTGCCGGGCGGGCGGCACCGTGACGGTAAAAGATGAAAAGGTGGAGCAGCGTTCCCCGGCAGGAAGCGCCGCAGCAGTGCAGAACAGAAAACACGTCGCTGATGGCAAACAGCACCGCTACGAGCGCACCCAGAGAATCTTTGTCTTCGTTAAAACTTTCAGGTTGCGTGTCTGGTTGGGTAAAAACTGTCGGCTGGTCGAAGAAACGCTGACAAACCAGCTGAACTGCAGGCCGACGTCACGACGCCTGGGTTTAGTTCCTTTTGCTAAAACCGAACAATCATTTTCATCACAGATCTTTGGTACAAACCAGCTATTAGAACCCATCTGCTGAGTAAATCAAATATATTAAAAAAACGAACATTGAGCGGCTGAAGGAGACCCGGTCTGAATCTCTTGATCTCAGTGATGGCACACGTGAGACTAAGAAAATGTGGATTTTTCCCAGTTTTGAAACCTACAGTGTAAAAAGAATAAAAGCAGAACTGGACTGGGCTCGTCTACGTGTTCTCCCATCAGAACCACGTTTTTCTGCGTACAACTAGATGGATTTTGTTTGGGAGAGGAGTCCCGTGGGCTGAGGATGGAGCCGGGACCCGTCCGAGCACCGCAGGGACCGAGGTGGAGAGGATGGATCGAGACCAGAGGACCGAGTCTGGAGGTCGTTGGCGTCGCCGACAGATGTGCGTGGACTCTACATCATCCCCAGCTGCATTAGCGTGTTGGCGTACGCCATGGGCTTGACATTCGGATGAGGCTGGAAAAAAAAAAAGATGTTAGAAGCAGCAGCAGGAAGTAACTTAAAGCTCGGCTGAATTAAACATCCCAGAATAAAACTGACAGACTACGATCGCCTCGAGGCACAGGTGGCCCAAACCTGATCCTTTTACCCAAATCTGTGTTTTTAGGACCGTCAGAACGTGACTCATCTGACTGGTTCATATGAGGTACTGAACCAGAACCATCGAGCTCGGTCTGAGCGGTGCCGTCACAGTGAGGAGGATCGACCCAAACGTCTAAAGCTCAGAACTCCAGACATCAGGTCCAGCTGCTCCGTCTGTTTTCACGTCTCGTGTTCCGGAGAGACTGAGGACCTACAGCAGCTGAAGATACCACCGCTGGGGTCGGACCGGATCGATACCAACATGATGGGATTGAGAAGTTTGTTTCTAATTTCAGTACGACGCTCCGGTTCCAGAGGAGCAACTCTGCACCGAAGGAGGCAGGACGAGGCCACATTAAACGTAAACACTGGACTAAACGATCGTGTCAGATCATTTAATCGGTTCTGATCGCTCAACAACTTCAGAACCGATCCACAACACGTTTACACATGTGACATCTTCTGCACCGTGGAGTTGGGGTCGGCTCCTATAGTTAAAGCTGACTCCTACAGTTGGGGTCGGCTCCTACAGTTGGGGTTGGCTCCTACAGTTGGGGTTGGCTCCTATAGTTGGGATTGGCTCCTATAGTTGGGGTCGGCTCCTACAGTTGGGGTTGGCTCCTATAGTTGGGGTCGACTCCTATAGTTATTGCTGACTCCTATAGTTGGGGTTGGCTCCTACAGTTGGGGTTGACTCCTATAGTTATTGCTGACTCCTATAGTTGGGGTTGGCTCCTATAGTTATTGCTGACTCCTACAGTTGGGACTGGCTCCTACAGTTGGGGTTTACTCCTACAGTTGGGACTGGCTCCTACAGTTGGGGTCGACTCCTACAGTTGGGACTGGCTCCTACAGTTGGGGTCGGCTCCTATAGTTAAAGCTGACTCCTACAGTTGGGGTTGGCTCCTACAGTTGGGATTGGCTCCTATAGTTGGGATTGGCTCCTATAGTTGGGACTGGCTCCTATAGTTGGGATTGGCTCCTATAGTTGGG